AAAAAATATTAAAGTCTTTGTCCTAGAAGGACTCCTAATGTTAGGGGGAAAGGATGTCCTGAGCTAATTCATACAGGCTTTGTGGATTCCACTCCAGACCAAACATCAAGACATTGGAAAAGACAAATCCCATCATCACCAAAGGGAGGGTTGCTGGGACCTGAGGGCCGAGTTAAGCTGCCAGGTTTGGTATAAAATCAGACATGTGGGCCTGGGGGGGTGTCTCTCTCCTGGCTTCAGGGCTCTTGGCTCTTGGCCAGCTCTCAGCATCCCATGGCGATTCCACCAGGATTCAGGTTAGTGGAATGAGTAGGAAAGATTCATGAGTTCATCTCCCTCTTTCCCCCCCCCCCGAATTACTCATTTCTTCATTTTCCCTTTCTTTTGTAAATAAACATTTTATTAACCTTTTGTGTGTGCCTATAGTTGAGGTTTTTTTTTTTTAGATTTATTTATTTATTTATACAAGCACTGGGTACAGTCAGAAGCACAAGAGGGTAAGAGAATTCACCAGAGCCAGAGCGGGAGCAGAACAGACAGCCTGATGAAACACACTGCTGAGGGGTGCAGTGGCGCAGCAGGAGAGGTCAGATCACCATGTGGGACCCTTGCTGTTGCGGTGGGATAGAACCAGCACTGCAGAGGCTGCAGGCAGCTTCGCAGCCCAGTGCTCAACTGCTGCGCCACCAGGGGAGGCCCTGCAGTTGAGTATTAATTAATCCCCTTTAATCGCATGGGTGAGGACCACAGTCAGGCAACCCATTTTATATTGGGGTTGCCCTGTAACACTAAGACAGCAATAAAATTTTCCTTGTAAAAACAAATTGGATCAATCTGGGTATATTGATAAAAATACATAACACATTAAATTTTAGTCTTCCTGAGTATTTCCTCTATGGGGACAAGACAACAAAACCAAATTCCAAATTAACAATCCATTGGCTCTTCTAACCACTGCTACAAAAGGTAGAAATAATACAGAAGCTGCAGGTCTGCAATGTAATGATATTTGACAAATAGATGTTACATTCATGTCTCTAAAGACACCTATTCTGCATTAATTCAAGCCTTGGCCCAAACAAGGTAAACTGGTAAACATGTCCAAAAAACATGATCCATTATCAGTTTTCATTTGTGATGGGATTCCCATCGCTGCAATGGCAAATAAAAGGAGTTTTTTTAAGTGATAATGGAGGGCCTCCCTGGCAGCACAAGGGCTTAAGACACAACCTATGAAGCAATCTGCAGCCACTGCTGCACGAGTTCGATCCCCAGCCAGGGAGCTACCCCCATGGCACAGCAGACCTCTCCTGACTCCCCCGCTGTCCCCTCAGCAGTGTATTTCAGTGGATCTGTCTATTCTGTTCCCCACTCTGTCTCTGGTGAGTCCTCTGGCCTGGACCTAGTTCTTGTATGCATAAATAAATAAATCTTAAAAATCAAACAAACAACTAATAATGGACCTGCTTACATCTCCAAAACCTTATAACTCTTTCCTGCTAGTGTGGAATATTCAACATGTGTCTGGAGCCCTTCTCACCCAGCAGGGCAAACTACAGTTAAAAGAGCCAACAAGCTCCTTAAAACACAACTTATAAAACAAAAAAGGGGACTCTAGAGAGCAAGTTGCCCCCACGGGAAAAATATATAAAGCTCTATTTACTTTAAACTTCCTAAATTGCAATCCTTCCGCCCTAACAGCTGTGCAGGCATCTCACTCCTGCTGAGTCTGGACGAGACCTGCGGTTTGCACCGACCCCGCTGCCAGGACCAGACTGGCCGGGCCTGTCCATCCCTGACCCGGGATGGGGGCGCTGCTGTCTGTCCCCGCAGGCACGGGCTGTGCGCCCTGAACCCCGCTCCGGAGACTCACCCCAGTGCCGGCTCCCGCGTCTCCCCACAGCCTCAGGTCGCGGGCGGGGACCTGGGCAGCAGCATCCGCCAGTGCTTCCCGCGCTCCCGGCTGCCCTTGGCTGTTTGCGGGTCTCCGCGGGGTCCATACCTGCCTCTGATGCGCTGAATCTTTTATTACCCCGGCCCGACCCTCACCACCTAGGCGGTTTGGGTGGGGACCCCCAAGCTTCCTGGCCGCAGGGCGTGGCGCCTGCAGCAGTTGCTTTCTGCTCACCATCCTGCTGCTCCCAAGTTTGTTTTTGTTCTCCTTTCTGTAGGTGGAGGGAGCCGGTGTCATGGGTGGGGCAGGGGCGCAGGTTCTGCTGTTTCCCTCTTCGCATCCTGTTACCGCAACTTCCCTCTCCGGCCGGCTTCGCCAATTTATCTTGCATGTCCCGGTTCTCGCAGGGACCTGCCGCTTTTTTTCCTTATTAATTGTGCATGTGGGAGAAGCTGACTCCTAGCGTTTTCTTCGCCTCCATGTAGATCCCCTGACTGTCCCGAGATTCATGACCTGCCCTCACACCCGCCTCCCGGGGGGGCAGAAAAGGTGGAAGGTGGATCTTGTGGCTCCATGGAGCATCTGCTCCACCGCCCTGGGTTGACCTAAAAAGTTAAGGCGTGAAGCAGAAAAGACTTCAAAGGTCCGGGGAACCCTGAGACCCCAGAAAATCTGTCCCTCTCAATGTTAGCTCCCATCCCCATAAAATCTCAAGGCCTTAAGGTAATGATACGGGAATTGCAGGTTCTCAGGCCCCATCTCTCCCCAGGAATGATCCCAGGCTGCAGGGCAGCACTGAGCCCCAGCCGCTAGACCCCCACGGGCTGGGGTCTCACGAAGCCACAGCAGGAACTTGGGGACACTCAGGCAAGCAAGGAGAAGAGGCAGGTTTGTTTAGAGAAATAAAAAGCTTATCGAGGAGAAAAGGAACAGAAATAAAGTGGGATTTCCAGGCCGGTGGAATCAGGCCAGGGAGGGGCAAGGAAGCCCAAGTGGGTTGGGTATCTGGGAATACAGACCTTCTTGCCCTGATTACTCTAAAGCCCCACCAGGCTCTTTGTGATTGTTTAGTTCTCAATGTCTCACTCCCTGCCTGAATGTCTCTGTGCCCAGAACTGAGTGTCCGTGTCCCAGCCCTTCTCTTTTTTTCTTTATCCTCCTTGTCCAAGAATGTCCTGTTGCCCCTAGTCCTGGGGTGTCTGATGATGCCCTTTGGAATCTGTTGTCCTTATCTCTGGAGCCTTCCTTAACCCTCCTGGAGTCCCTGCCCTGCCTTGAGGCTGCCTAATCATCCCTAACTTGCCCTAGGACTCTTCCACCTCTACGATGGAGCCCCTAATGCCTTCAACTCCAGGGTTGAAGGCTCCTTCCCAGGGGAATCAACTCTAAACTCTTCATTCCTAGGAGTTGCTGTAGAGGGGCAGGAGGAGAGACCCCCAGGGTCATGGGCTGGCAAGAGGGGAGGCTCCTGGAGGAGGATGGAGAGGGAGGAAATAGGGGCTTTAGGGGAGGGAGGCCAGAGGGCAGGAGGGGGAGGAACAGAGAGGGTGGGGCAGGGAAGGGTCAGCTCAGGGACACTGGGTGGAAAGGGGTGGTCTGTGTGGGAAGGCCCAGGGGCTCTGGCTGTAGAGTCTGTGTTATCATCCAGCAGTGACTCCCTGGGAGACATGAGTGTGGGACTGAGTTCTGCTGCTGACAGCTCTGTAACTGACCACCGGTAACTGTACTGAAATTAAAGGCATCTCTGCACTGCAGGTGTGGGGTGACTCACATTCAAGGTGAAGACAGGAAAGGAAGAGGGGAGTGGTGATGAAGGGATTCCCCTCTTTCAGAGCAAAAGCTCTCTTATGCTGGGGTGACAGGGAGAATCAAGGAGCCCAGAGAGGGGGAGCACAAGGCCTGTGCCACCTGCAGGGGGCAGCCCTGGGCCAAGGGGTTGCCAGAGCGCTCCCTGTGCTGGGACCTTACAGCCCAGTGTGAGTCCATTTCAGCTCATAGCCCTCAGCCCCTGGACACTGTCTCAGGCACCAGGAGCCCCTGCACCAGGAGGAGTGGCCCAGGCCTTGGACTCCTTGCTCTGGAGCACAGAGAGCAGACGTGAGAGGAGCTGGAGTCTGAGGTGGCCACAAGATCAGCCAGGAGTCGGGGCCTAGATTACTAACTTTTCCCCAGAACAAAATGTATCCCCCTCCAGGGTCAGGTGTCTGCACACCATAATCAAGATGCCAAGGATGAACCCTCCTGTCCAGGGTGAGACGACCCACCCCTGGATCCTGGAGGGTGGCCCTTCCCCCTCCCTAACCCTGAGAGCCCAGGCCTGGGGTCCTGTCTCTTCTCCCTCCTGGTCAAAGAGGCAGGGACCTGCTGTCTGGGTCATCAGGCCTTGCTCCTGCCACCTCCTGCAATGACAGTAAAGGTTTGTCCTACTTTCTATTTCCTTGGCACGTTCTTTCACCCTTTTACTTTAACAATTTTTGTTTGTAGAAAGTCTTTCTAGCACACAGAGACAAGGGTGCTACAAGTCTCCTTGATATTATCCAGTCTGAGAATCTCAGGCTTTTGATTGGAATTTTAGTTAATGTACTTTAACTTGATTTTTGATATGGTCAGATTTGAGTTTATCATTCTGATCTTTTTCATCGTAGCATGTCTTTTTTATTCCATTTCATCATCATTTTCTACCTTTCTTTGAGTCAAGCAAATATATTTTCTGTAAAATTAATTCTTTTTTTATTAAATAGGCATAAATTTTATTTATTTTAAACATTTATCATTTTTACATTTTTTATTTGTATTCCCCACTCCCTCAGATTGAGTCCCCATAGAATTTCCTTCCCCAAGGCACCCGTGCACCATCACCTCAGTCCCTGTGCTTCTCCCTCCCTCCTTCTGATCCCTCTTCCTCCTCCTCCTGCAGCATGTCTCTGGTTTATAATTGTCTCTTTTGCTTTTTTGTGTTTTGTACTGCTATTATATATTTTTTCACACTGATGTCTTATTTGGTTACCTTATATTCCTGTTATAAGTGAAATCATCCAATATTTTTCTTTTTCCTTCTGGCTTATTTCACTGAGCATAATTCCTTCTAGCTCCATCCACGTTGCTGTGAATGGCATGAGTTTATCTTTTTGATTGCTGAGTAATATTCCATTGTGTATCTATACCACATCTTCTTGATCCAGTCATCTATGTAAATTAATTCTTATGTGGCTTTAGATATATTTATTTCAGTACTTTCTATTATTGAAAGTATTTAAATCTGTATTTTTAATTTTTCAAAATCTACTTAATTAAACTACATCCCATAACATATAGGAAATTTACATGGAGGAAGTGACCCCCTGGGAAACATAGGGGGTAACAGGCTGGAGCCCAGATGCCAAAGGAGGTGAGCTTGGAGTGAGCATTACAGGAGGAGAGAGGGAGCTGTCAGGGGGAGCTGCCCCCACAGCCCAGCAGGGTCCCATCCAGGCTCCTTACACCTAACCATGAGAATAGTACCAACCCCCCTCCTGTCTCCAGATCCTCTGCTGCCTCAAGTCCTGCTCCAACCTGCTTCTCCACGGAACTGTACTTAATTCGGTGTTGCCTGATGCTCTTCACTCTGTGGGATTTGAATTCATTTATGCTGGAGCTTGATGTGCAATTGTCCTCCCATTGCCTTATGTTGTGTGCCCTGTCTCTTCTGTCACACACACATGCTCACACACACACACACACACCACACACACACCCCTCTCCTTGGGAACCAGATCCTCACTCATCACTGGGTTACTCTGACCCTCTGTCTCTGGTTCCCTCAGAGCGCCCTCTCTGCAGTGTCTCTACTCAGCAGAGTCTGAGCAGCCCCAGGAGTCCCTGAACCTCCTGCCTCTGACCTTGTGGACAACCAGCCCCTCACCCTGCTTGACAGTGAGGAGGGGAAGGCTACATCCTGAGGTCAGTGATGGATGGAGAAGATAAGTTACTTGCTGCAGGAGGCCTTGATGCCCCAGCCAGATAAGACACTGGCAAGCAGCGAAGCTAAAGGGCCTCACACCGTGGGGCCGAAGCTGAAAAGCCTCACACTGTGGGGCTGAAGATTCCTTGTGCCTCACACCATGGGCTGAAGATTTAACATCCCTTTATTTTTTTTTTTGGTCATAAAAAGTGAAAATTTTTCCAAAAAGTACATTAGGCAATAAATTATATGCATCAGTATACTGCAAATAAGTGGCACGGAAAATTACCTGTTTAGAAATTAGTTATTAAACAATTTGGCCCACTTGACAATGGGGACAATTTATTGAACATGCCTGACAAGCATTACAACACAATAATTCTAATAGGTCCTTCTCTTGCCCTTTCTTGAAGTTTCTTGGGAAAGTTTTTAAATGAAGCTATTTGAGTTAAGGAGTTTCTAGGCAGAAAAAGTTCTGATAGCTGAGTAGCAGCCGGTCCCGGCTGAAGGCCATGCAAATAAGAAAAGTCTTTTCTTGCTTAGGCTTTAGCTGATAGGGATGTACTGGCGGCTATCCACTGTCTTAGGTTATTGTTTAGCTGAAACAATGAGTTCTAGTGTAAGGCTTAGTTTTTTATTACCCTTGAAGGTTGCCTTCTTGCTGAGAGCACGTAGTGGCCAGAAGCCTATGGAAAAAGAGATGCACTGATTGTTTCTGCTTTGTTTCTGTGCACATGATAATGTCATCTCACTGCTTGCAAAAAATGTATAAATAAAGAACCTGCTGAGCCTCTCGTCAGAAGATACTAGCACCTCACCAAGTGTCGGTGTCTCCTCATTCTACCTCATCCCCTTCCCCTCAGTCCTTGAGTTTCAGCCCCTTACAGGTCGTTGAGGCCGTCTCATCCTTTCAGGAACCCCTGACAGGACATTTTGTGGAGGCTGGTCCCCCGCAGTTACTTTTTTCTGTTGGTTTAAAATAGATTTTTTATTGTTGTATTTTTGAGGTAACACGCGTTTACACACTGCACATGACTCAAAGTTGGAGACTCACCTCCTCAAATGCAGGTTCCCTCACCCCCCACCTCCAATGCACCCAGAGTCCTCCCCTGTGTTCCTCTGGGCCTTCTTACTCCTTTTGCTTCCCACCCTCAACCCCCTCTGGTGCCTCAGTTCTGCAACCAGACTCCACAGGCAGGTTAGGTTTTCTCTGTT